AATAATGGTTCTTTAAAAAAAAAAAAACCCAAACGGCTATCTAGGCCTATAATTCCACAAATATCTCAGTGGAAATCATCTCAGGGTACCATTGTGCTGCTCCTACTACTTCCAAATTGTATTCAGCATACAATTTCCTAAATCCCCAAGAAGGAAAACTATACAGACATTTTAAATATTGGATTGGGTTCCCGCTGACAATTTTCCTTTTATTTTCTTTGGCCCCAAATTTAGCCATCAGTAATATTACCAAAGTGATAAAACTTTGTCATTGTTTAAAAAAAAGACCTTCCTACAAATAAAACTCAGTTCTGAGTGTACAAACAGTAGAATAGGAAGAGGAAGAAGCCTTTTCATTTGTTTGTGTTCAATTACAGTATTTCAGTGGAAACCATGCTTCTCTGTGCATAATTTATCAGCTATATGTGAGAAGCACAAATCTGTGCTAATTACAAAATGAGTTCTCAGCTGACCACCAAATGTGTGCATAATGTATGTGTGTGTAATTACAAACAAAACTACATCAAATGCACAACTGCTAGAGCTTAAAATCTATCTGTATTATGGTGCTCTTAAACAACATTTACCTGATTCCAAGGTATATTTATGGTGAATCCTCTTCCCTTCCCCTGACCAACCGCATCATAATTAGACTCCCTGAGCGAAGGCCAGAATTTCTGGTGTTCAAACCGATGCCATGAAAAATAGAGAATACTAACAAGAACAAAGTGGGTGTTAATGAAGTCATCGTTACATCAAACAAGCAGACTGCTCTCAGCAGTGGTTATTCCAGGAGAGAATAGCTGAATTAAGACTGGAATCCAGGAATTTTCACAATCCAGCTTTCTGTTAACTGATCTAAATATCGGGTAGTCTCAAAAAGAGTTTAATTTTGCAGAGTTATAGACTCAGAGTAGTTTTTAAGATGGCGCTGAACTAAAACTTTCCGCAGAACCGTGGGTGTCGGTGGGAGCCCCTTCCATTTTGCATGTGAGTCTGACATGGACCCACAAAGGGCAACTCAACTATACTTTTGATTAGTTGTTTTTGTCTTTTTACACTGTATTTATTACTGTTGTTGTTCTGTTAGCCATCCAGAGATATTTGCTTAAAATGGACAGCCATTTCATTTGTTTCATAATTAAATCATAAATAAATAAAAGGGGCAGGGCTTCAGTTGCGATACTGCATCTGCCATCTTGCAGATTTTGACACACACACACACACACCCATGGATGCCACTGAGAATAAGCAAGCCAGCCCGGTCAAAAACCAGGGAGGCTTGGAGCCCTCATTCAGCAAAATCTGGATAAAACAGAAGACTGAACTGACACAATAAAAAAAATCAGGAATTTCATTAATGGGAGTCAGGCATCCAAATGCAAGATACTTTATTTTTTATTAATTTATTTATCCTTGGATTTATACCCCATATTTCTCTTTACTCCAACACTGAAGGGACAACAATGTTAAAAAATACAGAGTATAAAATATAGATTATAGCAGAATTAATACAATTTGCCTAAAAACCAAAATAATGATAAATAACTGTGTAGTGAAAGCTATCAAAATGTCTTGAGGCCTGCTGTTTTGTTACTGAAGTTCTTTGGTAATTCACTTCCAAAAGCACTAAGAACATGTTGAAAATCATATTCAGGTTTGCTGCAAAATCTCCAAGAACAAGTAAATGACCAACCTTGGGTCATCATCAAATGTATATTGAATTCCTTGTCCATGATGCACATCCCAGTCAACAATGAGAATTCTGCATGAACCAACAAAAACATTCATTAAAAGGTAAGACTGTTTCAAGAAAATGCAATTTTAAATAGATATACTCAACCTCTGCAGGTTGTATTTTCTTTGAGCATATTTTGCTGCAATAGCAACATTATTGAAGATGCAAAATCCATTGGCTGCATTTCTTTGGCTATGATGACCTGGAGGCCTGCAACCAAGCATGATGGGGTCAGTTAACCATAAACTGTATCAGAGAACATTCACCTAGAGAACATTTCAATTCTGTTACCTTACTAGAGCCATCCCATTGCGGGTCTTTCCTGACATCACAGCATCCACCAATTGCAATGTTGCTCCCACAGCCAATTTTGCACAACGATACGTTGTCTGAAGAACAGTACATATTTGTGATTCAAAGACACTACTGCAGTTTCTGAGAAGAATGAACAAGTGGGAGCACATGCACACCCATAAAGACAAATGGGACCTGTAGCAAAGGGACTCCACTGTGGAATGTTCCAGGCTATGGCTGGTGAGGACCTAGTCCTGTTCCAGGTATCCCATTCCATTCTCCCTTTCTTTTGGCTTTCCATCCCTTTTCAACAGCATCCCAAGACCACTGGTCATGCTCTGGTTTCATTGGGTTATGGTTTGGGTATGGAATGCCAGCTGGGGATTTGGAGAGCTGAAAACCAACACATTGTAAGAAAGGCAAATGATGACAAATCCCCCAAATTCTCCTTCTCCATCTGACATTGCTCAAACACATGAACTGGGAAAACATTCCAACAGTCACAGGCATGGAGATGAGACAGGGAGGATAGGAGGTGGTTACATACACAGCCTCACTTGTTTCAAAACTCCATATGGTCAGGCAGGAAGTGTGGAGGTAAACTCTACCTATGTTTGCTCTCCAGGTGATTCAGGAAGACCCAAATGAAGTAGGAATATGAATCATATTGAGAGCTGTTCTTGTGATCAAGCAGTATAGACTCCTTCTTGAACAGGACAGCACTGTACAACCCTGTCTTTCCCCACTCATTCAGGCATTGGATATTAGAACTGCCACTCAAAAAACTATTCAACAGTCACCTCCACCCAATTTATATTCCAGAGAGCGGGAGAACTGAGAAAAGAGGGATTTGGGGGAGGTGGGTGGAAGGATGGGTCTGGAGGAAGCTTGGAGTCTTGGCCATAAGAAAACCTCCATCTGTCAGGGGGACAAGTTTATGAACATATATTTAGTAGCAGGGAAGGTAAGAAGCCCTTGGAAACATTTTAATATTAAGGGAGACCATTTACAACCCATTTTAAGTTATTTAATAAGTGCTAATTTGGTTCCTTCTTTAAACGTTAACAATATGACTGTGCTGTTCTACATTTTCCCCTAATTACATTAATTTGGAGAGAGATTTTAAAAAATAGAGAAGAAAAAAAGAATCTCTAAATCAGGAAAGGGTTCAGTGGTGGCAGCAACATCAATAGATCCTTTCAGACCTTCCACAGGCAGGGTAAAAAAGTCAAGATGACAGCTGCAACCATGTAATCAAAGGTGCCCCACCCCTGCAGGATGCCCCTGGATCCTTTAGAAATATTCATGGTTAAGGGCAATACACTTTAGTTTTGAAGAAGAACAGCCCCACAACATTGAGGGTGGGCAACAGGGTTTAGAGAAAAAGGTTTATGACTAAGGAACATTATATCTAGGAAGAGTTCATGATCACGCCCCCGTACTGGATGAAAGTAAACAGCATCGTAACCAGCGGAGACTTTTTGGAGTTCTTCCTCCTCCATCTTCTCAGTGCCCTTCACAGTTTCCAAGTAATCCATACTGAAAAAGAAAAAGAAACCTGCAGTCACCCATAGACACAACAGAGGGTATGAGCTGGCTTCAAATGCAACCCTGCTAATCAGGAATCTGGCTGCAGATGGACTGACAAGGCAGCTATCTATGGAAAGCCAACTCAGATCTGAGACAACATGCTGAACCAATATATAAAACTGGGCTGCATTACTGATTTTGCCCCCAAGCCAAAACAATATAGATGGGACCATTTCTCTTATCAGGAACAGCCATATAAAATGCAATCACATTTCTTTGGGATGGATTTTT